TCTGAAACTCTACTCACCAACAATACCCTTTTTTTCAAGTGTCTACCCGTTCTAGAAGTTTAAATGAAGCAAAGAATTGGAGCAAAAGAAATTACTAACGTGTGTTCTTGGAAAATTCATAAGATAAACAACTTATTGTTTATCTTATATATTATCTTTTCCTCTGTTGAATTCTAAGCAATATTATTCCAACAAAATATTCTCATATTTTATCAACTCATAAATATTTGAATTTCTTTATTCACATAAGAGCATGAAAGTATAAATATAGTTAAAAGAAATAGTATTATTATTATGCTATCATGCAAAATCCTATTACATTACAATACAATATTTGCAAAAGCAGTGTTGTTTTTATACTATGTGTATAGTTAAATTGTACATAACATGTACCATACTTACAATTCATGTTTAAAATTAAAAATGTATCAAAATGAAAAAAAATTTGATTTTGAAAATTTGCATTTTAGTCAAACATTTTATTCTCAAATTTATTTTTAATCGACAGGGCAGAGCAAAGAGTGTTGAATTGATACTCAAAATATGTGGTTTCCATCTCAGCAGTTTGTTTTTTACCGACCGTATTGTGTAAACAATAGGTAGATTATGTGATGGCAACAAATTTTGCATATCGAGTTTTCGGTGGGAACGTACTTCTCCATAGTAGGGAAGTGTAAATAAACTATTTTTAGCAACCTGTCGGTCTGTCGGTCTGTCTGTCTGTCGGTCTGTCGGTCTGTAGGTCTGTGTGTGCACGCGTGTATCTCAAGTTCGGCTGAACCGATTTTGATGAAATTTTATATGTAAGTTTGTTTCCACCATGGCACGGATCGATCAACTTTTGGTATATATCAGGCCTCGGGAACTGCACTTTTTAGCGGACCTGTTTTACATTTTTGAACATTTTGAAGAAAATATTCAACCGATTTACTTGAAATTTTATATATAAGCTCAGCTCGACCGTCCGCAAAAATTCGTATGTTTTGGAAGAAATCAGGCATCGACAACTAGACGTTTACTACGGGCCAAATATACATTTTTGTGTATATAAAGAGAAATAATCAACCGATTTCATTGAAATTTAATATATGAACTCCTCGTATTAAAACAATGAACATATAAATTTTTTGGAAAGATCAGGGCTCGAAAACGGATTTGCAGGCCGATTTTACATTTTTCACCATTTTGAAGAAAGTATTCAACCGATTTACTTGAAATTTCATATATAAGCTTTGCTCGATCATACGCAAAAATTCTTAACTTTTGGAAGAAATCAGGCATCAGCAACTGGGCGTTTACTACGGGCCAAATATACATTTTTGTGTATATAAAGAGAAATAATCAACCGATTTCATTTAAATTTAATATATGAATTCCCCGTATTAAAACAATGAACATGTAAATTTTTTGGAAAGATCAGGCATCGGCAACTAGACGTTTACTACGGGCCAAACATACACTTTTGCGAAACATAAAAATGCGAAAGTCGCTAATTTGCATAAGTTGAGTTGCGATTCGCAGCATTTTCTAAAATTTTTTGTTTTTGAAATTTCTGACAGTTTTTTCAAAGTAAACATTTGAATTACATTTGAATTATTTTTAGGCCCTTATTATGATCGGCGAAGCAAGTGAAAATGTTTGGCGAATATGAATTTTTGGTATTACGAACTTTAGGCGAATGAGTTGTCGAATGAAAATTCTGTGTGACAAGCTTGACGAATGAAACCAAAATCCAAATTATAACATAAGTGTTTTCTTTTATTGGATATTATAGCATTTACATCACTATATAATGGAAAAATCTAAACTATCTAAAGTAAGTTCACAAAATTCTACAAATTATTGTAAAAAACAATTTATTGTTTAATGTTTATTTCGTGAAAAAAAAACGAACGAAAACAATTCGAGCATTCAAATAAATTAATGAACAACAATCCCGTAATTGCTGAAGGATAGAAAAGATTAATTGTTTTTGCAAAAAAGCAAAAACAATAAACATATTTGTTGTGTAAGCTTTATTATTTTCGGTAAGTTTACCGATACCTTGCGGTATTAACATTTTGGATCTGGCGAATGAAAGTATTCGTCGATCATAATTTAAAATATCATTCGATTCGCCTAGTCCATTTGACTCGCCTAGCCATTCGGTTCGCCGATCATAACAATGGTTTTAATATTAATTTACGTTAAACGTGAAAAAAACGAACCAAAAGAAATTCGAGCATTAATTAAATTAATGGAGAACAACTCCAACATTGCTAAAGGGATAGGAAAATTCAATTGTTTTTGCAAAAAAAGCAAAAACAATATACATATATGTGGCATTAACCTTATTATTTTCGGTAGGTTTTTTGACGTCTTACGGTAGCAACATTTGGGATCTGACGAATGAAAGCATTCGTCGATCACAATTTAAAATACCTTTCGATTCGCCTAGTCTATTCGACTCACCTAGCTATTCGCTTCGCCGATCATAATAAGATTATAAAGTATTCATACATTTAAATTTATGTATAATATCAAGGAGACGATTATTGTTAATTTTTTATACAAATATGGACAGGAAAAAACTTTTATGCAGGTTAAGATTTAAATATTGTTCTTGCTCAAAAAATCATTTAACTTATTACAACCGAAGTTTCTAAGCCTATAGATGAAAAATTTAGTCCCATAAAAATAAATCTGGAAAGGAGTAAAGTCGGGAAAAGAGAAGCGAAAAAAATTTGACATAGTGCTATTTTGCTATTTTCTTAAACCGGAATGGTTTTGTATTTTATTTTAACCTACAATTATGATTATTAATTACAAAAATTTAGTTAATTGCAGAAAATTTGAAATGCAAGGCTTTTTTTATTTAATAAAGCAAAATAAATGTAACACTAACATTGTTTAGTTCTATTTTTTGAAAAATTCAGACCTGCAATAAGATTCGTAAACAAAATGGCAATTGAATGAAAAGTATGCGAAAGCAGCATTCTGTAGCACCATTTTGCTACCTTCGCATATGCAAATTTGCGATATTCGATTTATATAGTGTCAAAATTTAGAATTCGAGATTCTAAAGTTTAGCGAGGGTAGCACTACATAGTAGATCACAAGACCTTTACAACAAAGAAAAAGATGAAATATTAAAACACCCATCTTAAAGAAAAGTAAGGGGGTTGAGGTTGGAGGTTGATGGTAAGCAATGTTTAATTCAATAGTAATATTTAAAAATGTAGTATACTTAAAGCTGCAATGTAATTATATTTCTAAGTAATAATTATATTTTAAGTTAATAATTATATTTTTTAATGGCGTGACACTTGTCGTTACCTTCTTGCATTTATAAAAATTTGGAAAATCTTGCACCTTCGGAAACATAAGGTTTGAAAATTCAGATCTTACAAATTTTGAGAGCCGATAACTTGAGAAGGGGTGGAAGTGGAAAAAAATTTTCTTCTTTCGAAATGAACTCTTAATTAGTATTTGAAAACTGATAAAATTTCAGAATCCTACAACTTGAGAATTAGAAGAAAAACGATATTAAAAATTTAGAAAAAAAACGGATTTTAGATAACGGTAAATTTTAACGGCCATTTTTTTTTTTAAGTTTAAATATGCTATGCCGCGGTGGAAAAAAACTCAAAACTACTTTTCTGCGTTTAGAAAGCTTAAAAAATGTTTGCGGTAAAAAACGTGTGCGATAAAAAATCTAAATAATGGTATTTTTAGGAGCTACAACTTTTATAGGGAGGGAGATAGGAAAAAATTTTCTTCTATGGAAATAAGTTTCTAGTTGATTTGTGTAGATATGAAATTTCAGTTTATTATTTTCAAGTGTATAGAAGTTTTTTAAACATGCCCAAGGAGGGATGGACGGACAGAGTGAAACTTATAAGCATTTTTTTTGGAAAAGTGCTAAAAAGTAAAAATTTTGTTAACGAAAACGAAAAAGACATTTGGACAAACATATGTATATATAATATACAGATATTGTTGTAACTTATTGTATAATTTATTGTTTAATTTAAATGAATATCAAAATTTGTATAATTTAAATGAATATGCCTTTCAAATTCATAATTTTAGAAAATTTACTTATACTTTTATAAGGTTTGAAATAGTTTACTTAACGACAGTATTATGATTACATTAAAACAGCGATAGTTTTGAGAGCACAGCATTGGAGCTACAAAGATATTTAAGAATATTTAAGAATTCTCCGTTTTTCTAATAGGTATTTCTTTTTCGAATAAGATTACTCACTTTTTCAATTGGGTTTCTGCATTTTTTCTTAAATTATCGAATGAACGTCTCACTTTCGAAAACAAAGTTAATAAATTTTCTATACATTTCAGAAAAATCAAGGTAAGCTATACGGAATAATTCCTCTCACTCGAAAATTACATTATACAAATATAAAGAAACTTTTCGGTTAAAGGACAGATGTGGGATCTGGTGTATATTAATTGCGGCCAACGATATGTGCTAGTTTAGTGTTCGTTGCACAGCATTTCAGGTGGAGGTGTTTCTGTACATCAAATCAAGTTGTCTTTTGGGAAGTAAAATGGCGTTAAACTGTAAACTAGTCTGGAATTGCTTGGCGTAATTCCACTAGCTAGCAATTTTAACCAAAATTAAACTCGTGTCAGCGCAGGGTCCCAGCGGAATCAGGGTTAATGAAACTGTAAATGCATTAGCAAAGGGAGACTACCTTTAGCTCTCACTATGTGTGGATTATCTATCAACATGATCAAAATGCAACTACAGGACGGGCAGGCATAGCTTTATTTTGGGCAGGAAGAACTTTGATGATGGATTTTCTGATATGTATTGTCTGGTATTGCTTACAAAAATGTTGTGAAAAAATACCCTTTTGTTTATGTGATTTGAGTGTAAAAACAAAAGTAAATAAGCTGGATAATGAATTTCTTTGTATTGGTAAAAAAAATATGTGATTGAAATATGTACGACTTTGCTTTGGATTGATTTGTTTTAAAAAATTTTAATTTATTTACCGCTAGATCCAGTATTGTTAATCTCTAACTTGAAACCGGTATTTGACGAATGACGTCTTTTGTTTTGATTTGGCTGGTGATCTAAATTAGAAATTGATGCTGCAACGGGTAATTGTAGAGCAGACATAGTACTATTTGTATCTTTCCTCATATGGTTTGTTTTTTCAAGCAATATCAAGCCATGTATATTATGATTTTCTCCGCTTGATACCGTTCCGTTTTCTTGAAGTTGCTCTATATCTAAGTCAGATGTGGTATAGCTGCTGTGTGACAAATATATATCTGATGATCTCAAATGTTTGTCATTTAAACTTTGGTGATGGAGACTGTTAATTGCGTGCTTTTGTTGCAAACCATTTTTTTTTATAGCAGCCCGCTGTAAACTAATCATATTTAAATTAGAAATATTCACTTGATTCTGAGAAGTAACTTCAAAACTTTGAGTAAGGATTTGATTTTTATCAAGATTCTCTGTACTGCGGTATTCTTGGAACTCAGATATTTTACGTGATTTATCCACTGGCTTGGCATCTAAAATACGACTATCTTCCAATAGGCGATCTTTTTCTTTAAATTCTTCGTGACTTGAGCCGTTGGGGGAGCTGATTTCGTTAAACTCAATTTGTTCTGACATTTCATTGGATTTGCCAAAAATCAAATCAGCATAAAATTTTTTCCCCTTTGCCTGTGTGTTTTCAGTAGGTGACTCCTTTATATATTTAAAATTTTCCAAATCGATCGTCTCGCTTTTTAATTTTATATCACCCGTTTCAATGCATGAAGCATCTATATCTTGGACATTATTGCTTTCATTTTTATTGAATGTCGGTTCATAAACAGATTTTTTTTTATAAAGCGAATGGTGTTCTGTTTTACACGAAGATGTTGGCAGACTTTGTAATTCAGCATTTTTCCACATTTCTGCAATAAACTCTTGGCCTTGACTTAAATTTCTACTGTGCTGTCGATTTCGTAAAGGATTATTTTTAGCGAGTACAGAGTTATGAGTATAATCTTTAAAAATAGGTACACTTAATTGCGAAGGAATTTCAAATCCTTTTTCTTTTTTTTGCAAGTTATCTGAATATCTTCGAGAAAGTTCTTTACTTAATTTAGTTGACTCAATCATATCCGCTGACTGATTTTGAGATAAATCGGAAGTTTCTAAACGAGTGGGGCGTTGAAAATTTTCTTTTTCTTGTACTCCTTGATATATGTTTCGTGAATACGCCGATATACTTTCGCTAGATTCAGAACTATTTTTGCGGTGTACATCAACTTTTAGATCTAAATTTTCAATGATAAACTTTTTTACACAAATTTCAAAATTTTCGGTCTTGACCAAACAAAAATTCAGGCCTGGACACTAACAAAAAAAAAAAACAGTTCGCAAAACACGGAACATTGCTTCATGTTCTAATAAAAATTGTAAAATGTTGATTTTAATATTACACTCTCTAAAACAATTTCTTTTTTATACCTATATATGTATATCTAAGGTGTTCTATCAGAACATGATAACTACATTTTTGACAAAAATAAATGAATGCATTATTACTTAAAACTTTAAAAGTTTTAAACGTAATTTAAAAAAAAAAAGGCTTTGAAAAACATTATGACTAACCAATTGCTCCAATACCAATTGTTCAACAATTCGAGATCATAAAATTTTCTAAGGCATAGAAATAGAGATATGTAATGTTATACACTTTTGAAATGAAAATGTATTCTACTTTTTTACCGTTTCGTTTCACGTTGAAAATGCAAGACCTACAGATATTTATTTCTATAATTCATATTCAATTGTTCATATTGGTTATATTCATATAAGTAAAAAGGACGTTTTAAGTCATACAAAACTAGATAAGAGAACTTGTTCGGTTCTGATTGATACTGATTTAAAAAAACGTGTATTTTATTTGACACAGAAAATGTGTTTAAATTTTAGTAGTACGTATATAAATTGAATATATTACGTTGAAATTCAAAACGTACTGTAAAAAAACGTTAAAACATTAACTCTTTACACCATTTTCACTAGTTAATGTATTAATACAACCAAAATTTCAATTGTGTTTTACTCTAAATAGCAAAAATGTAGATATCATGATCTGACAGAAAACGCTTAATATATTTCCCACTCAATTTTTAAAGTAAGAACTTCAACATTTTAAAATACCAAAAATAGGTTATTGTTGCCCCAAAAAGAAAAAAAAAATATTCTAAAAGATGAACGTTTGCTTTTCTTTTGAATGCGTCTGTGAAATTCTATCATGTAAAACTCTAGGTCTCGTATACTTGACCTGTAGCACATGTACTGCTTGCGGCCTTTTATTAATTTGATGGGCGGATCAAAACACAAATATGTATATATTTTACTAATAATTTATTTGCGAGCCAAGTATTTAAATTGAAATTGCTTTTTTGGAGAAATTAATAATGAAGTTACACATATTTACCAATCCAACAAATTGTTTACAAACGTAAAAATTTTACGTTACTGACAGAGATTTGAAAAACATGCGCATTATGTTGAGAATTGGGCAGAAGAATTTGATTTTCGATTTTAAGAAATAAAAAAATAGAGGAAAATTTCTAAATTTCTTCGTTACCAAAAAATTATTCTTACAAAGAAGAAATTACGTATTCATTTATTTCTTTGAAAATAAACCGTGTCCAAACCCTGATTTTTGTTACTGCTATTGATTTTGCAACTTAGTAACTTACCAATAGTGCTGGTAACGTGGTCAAGAGATATCATGCTATTCGCTTCACTTACTTCATTTATTGGTTGTTCTATAGATATGCGTGATGGTACATCATTCCCAATTACTTTCATTTCAATTCCACATTCTTCGCTATCAGTAAAAAAGAATTAGATGAACAATAATTTCCTTAATATTACAAAGCATACTTTACCTGAGTGCGTTTTTTGCGTTCTTGGAATCATTTTTGAAACTAGAATCGGTCACTGTTTGAGCTTTGTCATATAATAAATGTAAAGCCATGTTCAATATTTTTAGAACAGATATAGTGCAAATGGTTAAAATACAATATATAGTCCATGTAAATGTTGTTGTGGGAAAATACTTCAAAATATTTGATATTATTTCAGTACTAAATTTTTTAATATAACTTACTAAATATGTCAGAAATGGACCGCATAACAAAAACAACCACAAATATAAGTGAATTACGTTGCAAAAGACCGTTTGGTGAGGATCATAAAACCAACCGCCAGTCAACGAGGCCCAAACACCTTGCCGTAAAATTCTGAAAGAAAAGCTAATGAACACGTTTCTTTGTTACAGTACACTTCTAATTACTCAAAAGTTTGAGAACCCATTATCTCATATTTTCAAGACCTTAAAGTAAAACATATCTGCAACTACATTTAAAATAATTTACGTATGATTCACGTATGAATTCAAATTAATTTACGTATGGTATAATTTTTCCAAAGAACCACTTTTATTTTAAGAAAATTTTTTATTCTGAGAATTTTAAAGAAGTTCAACATGCGTTTTTATGTAAATGCATTTAATATTTTGCAAATTATTTTTTATTGTTTTTGTTGCATGTAAAATGAAAAGCGTAAATATTTCAGCTGTTTGACTATTGACATTTATTAGAGTGGAGAAATATATGGTTTATACATGTAGCAAGATATACAGGTAGCATACATATACAGGTACTGACAATATATCTTGACAACAAAGATATCAAGGCCTGAATCCTCTTTTTTTGTGAATGTATGTGTTAAAACTGATATTTATATTTTTTCTTTTTTTAAAGTATTTCTGAATCATTTTTTTTCAAAATAATTATGATTTTCATTTGGAGTTTTTTAAGAAAAAAATTGATTAAAACCTAACAATTTTTATATTAAAATGTAACTTAGAGTTTTCTGGGCAACATATAAAAAATTCAAATTTAAACTCGAAATATTAGTCATAATTTTGATTAAATATATTTAAAAAATTTATAATATTATATTTTTTTTCATGTTGACTCTTTGCTCCGAGCATTATCAAGGTCTTAACAGGAGCGTATATATTTCATTTTCGTGTCTGATCTCGACTATAAAATATGTGTTATTTGTCAAGAGGATAAGTTATTTTTTTTTTTAAGTAAAAATTAAAAAAAAAAATTTCCAAATATTTTTTTCTTTTAGATATCTGTAAAAAAACCGAATCTAAACAAAACTGAATATTTTTTTTCTCTTTGAATAAATTTATTGTATAAATTAAAAATATTTATAAGTATTTTAATATCACAATTATTCTATTACCCTCGAATATATTATCTGATAGACATACATATGTATGTATGTATGTATATTATAGAATATATACTATAGACATATTTTGTTAAAAAATTTCTTATGTTATCAGTTTTGTTTGATAGTTTTACTGAACAACCCTAAACAATATTAATAATAATAAATATAGATACGTATAAATTTTAATAACTCTAAAACAGTATAATTCTTAACAAATTCAAATTAATATGATGGTTATTACTCACTGAAGTAGATAGGATGTTGTGGTACTCTTCTTTATTTATTAATTGAGCTTCACATGCTAATTCAATCTAAAACAAAATATTTTAGAATATAAATAATGCACGCAAATATTTTATTTTACTTACTGAATTCAATGGCATCATATATGATCTTCATATATTTTTTTGGTGACCAAATCTTCACTCTATTAAGAGAAATATATCTCATTTCATCATTTCATTTCGTCATTTCAAGGAAAACTGTAACTATACAAATAATAAGATCATTTAAAATATTTGTTTGTATGCTACATTTTGAATATGAGAATCACAAAAACGAATTTTTGTTAAATTTTTCCTGTTTGCTTATTGGGGCTATGAATATTTTGCATCTACGTTTTACTTAAAACTACTTATGTACATACGTCACTAAAAAAAACCTTTTCATATGCATAACTTGGCAGTACAAGATTTTTATTATAAGCTAAATATTTCGTTTTAGGTAATATTTAAAGATATATCTGTCCATATATAAAACATGGGCATTAGTATTTAATGTTCTCGTCAAATTTTTCCCATTACATTTTTTGCATGCTTGGCACGCTTAATGTTTTAAAAAGATATTTATATTAAATTTAATTGAAATAACGTAATGATATTAGATTATTTTTATATTTATATTTATTACAACTAAGTCAAGTTGACCTAATCAAGCTATTTTCTTTTATCATCTACATAAGTGTATGGGGAACCATTTATTGATGGCAACTCCGAAGATCATATGAACCCTTACCCATCCCAAGTGCAGTTCAGAAGCTCTATTTCTCTTGAGTCGCCTGGGAGTTTCGTTGACCATTATAATATGTCTCATTTCAATATGGTGATGCTGTTGCATGCTTGATGAAGTATCTACATATTTTTTCTTCGACCGCGATAATGTTGAGATCTCTATGTATGGTGGAATTTCTACGTACCAAGGTGCTTTTACTATATTTCGTAGTACCCTATTCTGGATGACTTGAGTGGTTTACACCCCCAAAAATCTACACCGTATGTCCAAATTGGTTTAACAACCTGTTTGTATATTAATAATTTATTATGGACACTCACTTCTGAGTATCTGTCTAATAACCAATTCAATTTACAGATTTTGATGTTTAGCTCTTGTTTTTTCTTTTGTACATACTTTTTCCAGTAAATTTGTGTCTAATGTCATCCCAAGATATTTTTCCTCATTGGCATAGGGTTCAATTTTATTATTTAATAGTATCGGAATATTGGTATTTATTTGCTTATAGGTAAAGTTAACATGAACCGATTTGCCCTTTAATCTAATGATTTTTGTAGTTTCTCCGTGATTTCTAGGATGGTGTTACCATGAGCGGTATCATCTGCAAAAGTTGCGGTATGGGAAAATATCGTTTGGGGAATATCTCGAGTTAAAAGCAAATATAGCACAGAACCCAGAACGCTCCTCTGGGACACACCTGCGCTTGTATTTCTAAGACCAGAGTATTCATCACCCTGTCTCACTTTAAACGTTCTATTGCCCAAATATTACTCCAGTACTCCACAAATTTTTGTTGAGTACTGGAGTACTTCCACACACGCTGTCAAACGCCTTAGCATTGTCTAGGAACACAGCTGAGCATATTTCCCTTTTCTCTAACGAGTTTTCAATTACGTTCGTAATTCTGTGGACGTGATCAACAGTTGAATGGTCAAATCCAAATTAGTGATCTGGAATTAGATGCTTACCTTCCATTATTGGAATCATTTGTTTTAACAGTAACTTTTCCAAAACCTTAGATATTAATGCGAGACAGCTATTTAATATAGAGACAATAACTTTATAGGGTAACTCGCGGTAATTCTTTAAGAACTGTATCAGTTATTAGACTATTAACCAGGAGATTTTTAATTTTTAATCCAGAAATTTCATTTGTTATTTGCAATTTGGTAAGTATTTTCTTCAGCTGGTTGGCATGGAATGGGTCTTAAAATACCCTCAAGATAGTTTGCAAACAGCAAGTCTTTCAAAATCGGTAATAGCCCATGAGTTATCCTCTTTACGTACAGCTGGTATTTGAAGTCTACGATTTTTTTTAATTTTTCGTTATTTTCCACAAGGAATATCCTGAATCCTTCTCAGCAGATTTTTAGCTTGTTACTAATGGATTCATTTTTGATATCATTAATAAGTTTTTTCAGTCTATTACTTAGCTGGTTCAATCTTTGCGTACCTGCTGGGCAGCGAAATATGTGCCATCTTTTTCGTGCTTTTCTTTTATGTTTGATTAAATTTCTTACTTCCATGGGGTATAAATTATAAATAGCGTAAGTTTTAATTGCAGATGTGTTATTCCATACCGCATTTTGTATATCGGTAATAAAGTTATTTAGCCTCTTTTTCTAATTGATTCGGTGTTCTTAACGGTGTTTGCACAATGATACGATGTTGTAATTCGTCACGGAATCCAGGCCAGTTAGTAGTATATAGTCTCAATGATTCATTCTACAGGATAATGGGCTCGTTTGCAGTTAAAATGAGAGAAATATGATCGGAAAATATATTAAAGCTTTCGTTGACATGAGTAGTAATGAAGAAATCAATCATCCCTTCGTAATGAAGAAATCAATGAGATCCGGTGTTCTCTTTGGGTCCGCTGACAAATATGCAGGTTTACCACTTGAAAGAAAGTTACATTTCAGTCTACTAGCCGCTTCACACAAGGCTCTACCTTTGGGCATACTAGTTCTTGAGCCCCAAAAAGTATGTGATCGACGAAGTGAATCTCTAAAAGAGTCGAATAGACTAGGTGCATCGAATGATATATTAAATTATGATCGCTTTCACTCGCCAGATCCAAAATATTGCTACCGCAAGACAGAAAACCTACCGAAAACAATAAGGTTAACACTACACATATATCAGATAACGTTGCTCAATATCAAAAACGTTAACGAACTTATTTTCACAAAAGTTTTACAAAAATTCGCAAACTCAAGAAAATCGACGTGAATTACTTTAAAAATTAGTTCATAAAAAAATTTTGCATAAAGAATCACGATGCAACAACTACAAAATTGCTAACTTTGCAAGTAGAGTTAAAGTAAATTTTTGTTAATAAACTTATAAAATAAAGTACAGTTGTTTATCAACATTCAAAGAGGAAATTTAAAAAATCTTTTTATTTTTAATATAATTTATCAAAACTTTTGGAAATTTTTAGAAACCAGGTGGACGCTCAAGGATAAAAAAATTTGTGGAATTTTATGAACTTACATTACAGATAATATAGTTTTTTCCATTATATCACTTTAAATACTATAATATGAATATCCAATAAAAAAAAGACTTATGTATTAATTTGATTTGTGGTTTCTTTCGCCAAACTTATCTCGCAGAATTTTCATTTGACAGATTTAACAGGTCATTCGCCTAAAATTAAGGCGATTTCGCTAATCATAATACTAAAAATTCAAATTCATCAAACATTTCATTCGTTTCGCCGATCTTAATAAGAGCCTCAATGTAGAAGATCACAGACATCTTTATATAAAACTTCGCAACAAGCAATAACGGTGTATTCAAAATTAATCATCACACTTTTTACTAAGAAACATATTTTTATATTAGATATTTTCGAATAAATTAGAAATGTTCATGTTGACATCCCATTGTTTGAAAAATAAAAACGATTAAATACAAAATCCATACAGAAATTATTTTATTTCGTTTAAATAATAGAAAATGAAATTTCGCGTTCTTAAAAACAGGAATAGTAAATTACAGCTAAAAAAATATTTTTCAGGTAAAATAAAAACGGTAAATACATACATACATAAATAGAATTGTTTTTGAAAACAATGTTTTTAAATTGACTTTTTTTATTAACTACATAACATATTTACATAAAAAAATAAAATTTTTAATTCATTTTTCTTAAAACTAGTAACATTTGATGACAAAACCTATAAAATTTTTAAAATCTTGACATTTTTAGGTTATTGATCAAATTATATTTGCCCGAGGAATAAAATAAAATTTAAAGCTCTTATAAATTAAAAATACTTGC